TTTTTTTTTTTTTACAAACTAAAGATTTTCTCTCAGAAAAGGACGGTCACTAAGAACCTTCAAACAGCCAGCTCATTTTGCTGGCTCATGGCGATCATGAGATTGAAAACATAATTTATGCATGTTTTTCTCCAGAGCCTCTTTCCTGAGGTGTGGCACGTCAGTCTTGTGAGGCTGACAGTAAATTCTGATCATAAAAATAAAAGCAAACATTTGTATGCTTGCCACACGCCAGATATGGTCCTGAGCCTGCGTCTGATCCCACACAAATGATTCTGCGAGGGATAAAGATGCCCAGGGTCTCTTTCTCACAAAAGAGGAGGGGGATGTTGGTCATTCGCTATCGGTGGACCCTCTGAGTCTACACCTTTCTCCTAAATGTGACACTTCTCTGCTGCCCTAGCTCTGCCGTAACCCAGAGTCAACCTCAGCTCCACATTTGGGGCTGGTCAGTTCTGCACAGTTGAGCTGTTCTGTGTGTGTTTAGTGGTATCTGGGACCTTCTCCTTCTCCTACCATTGAGAACCACTGATGTAAATGCCACCATCCCCGACACTCTGGCCTGCATCCCAGAGCATGGCTTCCTTTAGAGATAGCCCAGGACCGTGAGAGAAGGAACCCTTGAGCCTCAGGCCTTCCCTACTTACAATTTGATACGCTTGAAAGGTGGCCCGCAACTGCTTGTAGCTCCTCTTGGCCAGGACTTCATTGAAGGCAAGCTCGTCGGTACCCCAGCGGCCTTCCCCTGCCTTAAGGGCCGATCGCAAACAACGTGAAAACAAACCGGGCAAAAAGACTGAACACATATTGCTGTTGACACTGGGTAGGCAATCACTTATATACAATGCAGTGTAGAATGCTACGACTAGCAGGTCACATACGACAGCTCTGTCTCCTGACTGTCAGAATGCCACTTTGTGGTTAAACATCCTTGACTCTGTAGTTAAAATGTTCCCAATATATCAGAAAGTAATGTGACAGGGCACTTTCCCTATTGCTACACATGCACACCAACTAGGTCTGTGTCCTCAAAAGTCCCTGACGTTGTTACAGTATCACATTGTGGTTTTTCACTCTCTACCTTGTGGGCTTTTCTAGAGGCTCATGGGAAGAGATACCCTAAAATAGAGCTCTTGTCCATCATGATATGAGAGAGAAAAATTATCATCCCACCCCACAAGTATGCCACAGAAATGTCTCAGAAATCCTCAACAAGACACCCTTGACACCTGCCAAACAGGTATTCCATTTTCACGAACACCCATTCCAATCTCTCTTTGGAGTACTGGCTTTATTAATAAACTTCTGCAAAAATTGTCCATGGCTTTCCGTCAAACTCTTTCCTTTACGAAGGCAAGAGCCAAGAGAGCCCCATCAGACTGAGTGGGCCTCACTTACAGAGAAGAACAAATACGAAGTAATGGAAGTCAGGTGGGCAAATGGAGCTCTTAAAGCCTCCAGCCCACAGTATGCTCGACACATTGTTACTTATTCCATCCTGGGAGGTGGTTTACCTGAGTCTATCAAGTTTTTATAATATGATCTGTGCAGATTGTAGCATATACTCACGTATCAGAGGACACATTTCATTCCAAAGTAACTCTCATTTGCAGGAAACAAAGAAATGCCCATTAAAACAGTGCTAATGAGTGGAAAAACCAAAGGAGTGTGTGGAGCCAGTGCACACAAACACTTACATCGTACAAATCTTTGGCATCCTGACCAGCCAGGTCTTTGTCCACGGTATCTCCTTCATCTCGACTGGCCTACAAAGATGGATGCATTGCCGTTAACTCAAGGACTTGTTGACCGCAGAAAAGTGAGCGAGCCCTGTGATACAGGGGTGACTTTGGGGGAAAGATGGGGAGAGGGGGACTAAAGCTCAGCTCAGTGTGGCAGAGTGGCAAGGCCTGCTCTTTGCTGCCATCTTTTGGGAAAGATTGAAAACAGTCTAATTTCTGTGATTCCACTCTTTCTCTCCCTCTTCCTCTCATCCCTTCTCTCCCTCCTTCCCTCCCCCCCCATACCCGACAATGTTCACTCACCAAATCCACAGTCTTCAGTGAAAGCTAATAGAAACCTCGAATCCAGTAGGAAGCAAGCATTCTTCCACCCCAAATACCAAATGCCACCATTCAGTGGCCAATACCAAAGAACTCTGAAAGTTGGTCATGGGAGACTATGGAAGTGCTAAAATGACCCCAGTGACCTGACTTTTGGTATGTTCCCCTTTCCTTGGGCGTGGAAGGAGCAGTAAGGCAGAAGAAATTGTCCAGGGTGATCCCTAGCCCAGAGAAAGTTCTTAAAGGCCAGAGGCGGAAGTCCCAGAGGAACTCTTGCTTCTGGTTTTGGAGAAAGCAAACAGCCCAGCTATAAGCTGTCCTGGTGGCAGAGGTGGAGGGACAGGCGGTAGGGGGCTGGAGAAAGTCTCTGGGTGACAGCTAGCAAGAAAACAGTCACATCAGGTAGCAAACCAAGGAAATGAATTCCCTCAGAGCCTTGGATGACTGACATTTGGACAAGTTGATTCCACCCTTGTAGGCCTTCTGTGAGGGACCTAACTATCAAACATCTGGTCCCTTGGCCCATGGGCACTGGTGGACAATGGGCCGTGATGCATTGAGCTGTACGTTTGGGGCAGTGTTTGAGACAATTACCCCCCTCCTGGCTGAAATCTACACACGCATTTTCTCTGCTGTCAATATGCCCAAGTGAAATGGGGAGAGTGGACAGAGGTCTGTCAGTGGGAACTGGGTGACGTTAGTCTGGAGCCTCAGTCTAAATTAAAGACCACTCTCCTATTTGTTCTCACCTGAAGCAGGGACACCAGAATCTTCCTTAGGTTTCCACTTGTATCGCCTTTGACATCGGATTCAAGGCTCTTGCTAAATACTTTTGAGGAAGAGAAAGGGAGAGAGCGGATGACTGAGTTACCAGCCGTGTTAAAAACAAAACAAACAACACCGCTTTATCCAAACCCAGAACAAAAGTTACTTACGCCTTTGGTAGGCTTCTTTGATGGCCACAATTTCCTAGGGAAACGGTTGAAACAATTAGTGTCCAAGCTGGGAGTCAATAGAAAGCAGAGGTGAGGCAGAAGTGTAGCTCAAATGCAGAGGCCTTTGTGACTTTCTATTGAGAAGGTTGTCCCTAAAGAGCAGGGTGCAGGCCTACGGGGAATCTGCTAGTGTAAAATGACCTTCTGTGTGTAAGCGTATAAGTAGTGTATGCATACAGTCTCCTTAGACATGGAGTCAGCTTGGGGAATCTGTCACCAGACAAAGGAAGACACTGGAGTACATTTACACTATGGAGTAACATTTGTTCATGAAAAGGAAGAAATTCTGTCAAGTGTGATCCAGACAACACGGCTGATTCTGCAGTACACTGAGTGAAATAATCTAGACACAGAAAGTCATGCACCCCATGAGCTCACTCATGTATGTGGTATAAAAAGCTAGCATCAGGGGTAAAATGGTGGGTGCCAAAGGCTGGAGAGAGAGGGGCCAGGGGGGCGCCAATGGTGGTACCAAGTTACAGTGTGTGGTGGCTTGAATGAGAAATGTCCCTATAACTCAGGCATTTGAACCCTTGGTCTCCAGTTGCTGACTCTGTTTGTGGAGGCTACGGGAAGGCACAGCCTTGCTGGAAGATGTATGTCGCTGAGAGAGGGCTTTGAGAGTTTATAGCCTCACGCTATGCTGCTTCATGTTTACAGTTGAAGAAGTGACCTCTCGGCTTCCTGCTTGTCCTGCCAGGCCTTCCTGCTTTGATGGGCTTCTATCCCCCCTGGAACCGTAAGTCACAATAATCCTTTTCTGCTGTGAGTTTCTCTTGGTTTTGGTCTTTTAACACAGCAACACAAAAGTAACTGATACATGCGAGGTAAGAGGGAAAGTTCTAGTATGCACAGTAGGACGACTGATTAACAAGAATATACTGTCTACTTCAACATGACTGGAAGAGAGGACCTTGAATGTTCTCACCATAGAGGCATGATGAATATTTAAGGTGGGGGATTCACTGGTTGTTCGCTTGACCGTGATACTTTGTATGTATGAAAGTATCCCACCTTAGCTCAAACAGAGCTACAATGGTGACATGTCAACGAATAATAGGAAGCTAAGCTAATACCTTTCCCCGTCTCTTTCCCTCATCCCCACCCATACAACCAAGGTTAGAGTTCAGTGTGTGTTTCTCTCTCCTGTCTACTTCTATGTTTACTATACTATTCTCCAAGCCAAAGGTCCGCCATCTTTGTAGGTTCAGCTATGCCCACTTGCAAAAGACCATCCCAGCTCACCTTGTTGACTATTGACCTTCCCGCATGAGAGAAGGGGTGTAGAGGGTCACCCCTTCCAATCAGATATATGTAATTCTTCCCTAATTGTAATGGAGGCATCAAGGAGGAGCTAGAGGTAGGTACACAGGCCGAGAGGGATGAGGGCAGGGAGCCACAGGGGAGAGGGCATCCACGCTGGGTGCAGACCTTCCAAGGTGACTGTTTGAAGGTCACCCACACTCCTGCCTGTAACCCCCCACTCTCTGCTCTGTAAGTAAGCCTAATAAACTCATTGGGTCTTCAGAGTGAATTGTGTGGAATTGTACCTTGTTTTGTAATTGGGACCCTAGAGGAAGACATTCACATCTCAACGAGAGCAAAAAAAAAAAAAAAAAAAAAAAAAAAC